ACCGTACTATCACTCTGGCCCCTAGACTAGAATTCTAAGCCACACTTTAACGCTAGCACCGTCTCTGACCCACTAAGTGACATTGGCAAGTCCCTCTGCCACCAGGTCTCATTTCCTCCACTAACAGAAACATGACCCCAATCATCTAAACTACTGCAGGAGTCAACTGGGAGCATACATGAAACACGGGGTAGTGCAACCGTGCTACAGAAACACTCATTACCATTAAGCGTGATTGTATTACAGCTGGGACCAAATGCTTTATGGAACGCATTTGTAAGAGTTTACTAGAAGCCATAGGAGGGATGGGGAAATTCCCTAGCTGTGAAAAAACAAGCTTTAAACAAGCCTGGCTAGCGACCAGCTTTCTACTGTCCCAGTTACTCTGGGGCAGGCCCTTTGTGGGGTGAAGTCTGTGGAAGGGAAAACCAGCAGGCAACAGCCTGTTTTTCCTGCCCATTGGTAACGCCCATTGTCAGGCCCAGTGGAGGGCCTAACCCGAGAACTAGACAGCCCCGACTAGAGAGTGACGCAGCCCAGGGCCCCAAACTCAGCAGAACACAAGCATTCCCTGTGCAGACACTGGCCTGAGTTGCTCCCATTCAGAAAAGGCAGGAGGAGCTGGAGCGATAGGACTGCAGGTTGGGCGTTTGCCTTGCACGCAGCCAACCCAGGTTTGATTCCCAGCATCCCATATGGTCCCCTGAGCACCGCCAAGAGTCATTCCTGAGTGCAGAGCCAGGAGTAACCCCTGTGCATCGCCGGGTGTGACCCAAAAAGTTAAAAAAAAAAAAAGGCAGCAGTAGTCATATTTCACGGTGCGCCTACCATGGGCCATGGCCCTGAGGATTGAGCGCATCGGAGCCCTCCAGCCAACCCAGCTCATGGGCAGAGGCCAGGGCTGTGGGGGCCCGAGACTGAGATCACCTGGGAAGTGGCAGAGAGCCAGAATTCCAAGTCACCTTGGCTCCAGAGCCATCCGAGAGGAAACCTCAAGGACTAGCAGCAATGTGCCGGTTCCAAGGACCAGGCGGTGGGTGAGAGAACGAACTCTGGAACCTGGCCGCTGGGGTGCACCGGGCAGTGAGGTGACCTGAGTCTCGCAGCCTCTGCCCCCTGAGGGGGACAGGGAAAGCACATGCAGAGGAGTGTGCCAGAATCCTGGGAGATGAACACTGACAGCTCTTGGCACAGGGCAAGTGTTTGCTCAAGGTCTCCCTTCGCATTCCTTTCCCATCCTGCCTGGCTTCCTGTCCATCCCTCTTCTCTGCTGGTTCTGTGATAACGGTCTTCAACCTCCGCTTCACGGGCTGGTGCCACTACCACACGTAGAAAGGTAGAAAATCCTGGGTCTACCTGCTTGCTGAAGAACACAGCACTCTAAGATCTCTTTCCCCACTGTTAAATGATAAGTGCTGAATTATGTTCCCTAATCTAGGGTCTGGCTTTACCACAGATTAGCCATTACTTGGTCTGCAATTAAGCATTCTGCAAAGGATGTTATTTTGACAAGAGGGATTTTCAAGCGCTCCCAGGCCTCTTGAGCACTGCTGGGTGTGGCCCTTTAAAAAAAATTCTAGAAGAGGGGCTGGAGCAATAGCACAGCCGGTAGGGCATTTGCCTTGCACGCGGCCAACCTGAGTTCGATTCCCAGCATCCCATATGGTCCCCCGAGCACTGCCAGGAATGATTCCTGAGTGCAGAACCAGGAGTAACCCCTGAGCATCACTGGGTGTGACCCAAAAAGCGAAAAAAAAAATCTAGAAGAGGGTTTTCCTCCTTACCATCCTAGGGAATGTGCAGATGAAACAAAGCAGGTACATACTAGAAGGCTATTCTGGAGCTCTATGCCTTCCACTTCTGTAACTGTAACTGCTAGAGAGTGTGGACGGCAGTAATGGCCAACGGTCCTGGTGTGAATCTCGCCGTCTCACTCCTCCACCCCCTTGTGAGGACCCTCCTGTTGACCCTAGAAAGGGCACCACCATTGAGGCTGGCTCAGGCCCAATCTGACAAACTCCTGGGGATGAGGGCACGAGGGCCACTCTTGAGGAACTCCACCCGAATGTATGGCGCTAACTGGACTTTTCTCTTGGAAGCGTTTCCGAAATTTAAATTTTGTGACGGCTGCTGAAGGAAACTTTTGTGTGGGACTTTCTCAGCCACAGGCTTGGTCTCTTCCAGAGAGCCACAGTGCCTCCATGTGGACAACTTGGCCTCAGTGTCCTTGCCTCACCTAGCGCACTAGTCCCCCAGGACTCAAGCTTCCCTCTGCACCCTCGGACGTCTTCTGAGCTCAGTCCTGGGCACTAACCCCACTCTAACTGACGTCACACCTCACTCCAGAGGGTCCCCATGAGACACTCACCTTTGGTTCTGCGGAATGAAACTTTGCCCTTAGTCTTTTTATTTTGGGGGTGGGGGGGGGTCACACCCAGTGATGCTCAGAGGTTACTCCTGGCTCTGCACTCAGGTATTACTCCTGGTGGTGCTCAGGGGACCATATGGGATGGAGGGAGAGGGGGGACAGATTGAACCAGGCCCTGCTCAGGCCCTGCCTTTAGTCTTTATGGGCTTTTGGAATCTGTGGTAGACCTCCCCTTCTACCCGCACCCCAATATACTACAATTAGACCATCAGCTCTGTGGGGTCAGAAGCTTCCTCTCACTGTGCTCCTGGACCCAGGACTGAGCACACGGCCAGAAGCAAATACACAATGAATACATAATGAAGGAGTCAGTGGATGGACAGATCGAGTGGAAGAAATGATTCCACAGGGCCCATCTTTCACGACTCTTTCAATACTCCTTCAGTGTGCCCCCCACCCCTGCAAAGAATCAAACTAATACCTGCTATAGATACAGATCCTGAAACTGCTTTTTAAAATTATCCTTGTTTCAAGTTCAGAGAATGCTGCAAAACATCAATGCTTCAAAACATTTTAGTGTCTAAAATATATTTTGATAATGAACATAATGTACATTTTTTCATTATTCCTATCCTTTGAGCCTGATCTTATTTCTATAGCATATGAACAGTTTTTAAAAAACAACTTTGTTACCTATTATGAAGGTTAATTGAAAGTCTAAAATTTCCCTTGGATTTTTCTGGGGTGGAGTGGGATGAATGGTAGTCACCTGTGTCGGGGTTTTTTTTTGTTTTATTGTGGATTTCTTTTTTTTGTTTTTTACTTCTACTGTTCCAGCACAACTGTCTCTAGAAGTGATTTTTTTTTTTTTTCAGTTTTTGGGCCACACTCCATGATACTCGGGGGTTACTCCTGACTCTGTACTTACGAATCACTCCTAACAGTGCTTGGGGGACCACATGGGATGCTGGGGATGAAACCTGGGTTAGCCATGTGCAAGGCAAGTGCCCCACCTGCCATATTATCGCTCCAGCCCCTAACAGTTTATTTTACTGTAATTTCCCCTAATAGCTTATTTTATAGTAATTTATAATGACTATTTTATAACATTAACAATAAAACTTGCTCACTTAAGGCTCTTAGCCTTGTATCCTGTTCTTAATATTCTCTTTTGCCTGAATCTACTGTGGTCCACGAACATTTGAAAAATGCCCTATTTTTACTTCTATGTCTTTTTTCCCTTGATAAAAGTTTTCAAATAAATAATGCATTGCTGACTTCTGCTTTTGAACATGGTCTGAAGTTCTCTAATTTATTAGAACTGCATATGCTGCCATTAATTGTGGTATAGTTTCTTTGGCCTAGTTCATGCGATCTGTGTTTTGTTATAGGAACTACTCTTCCTTCTTCTACCCTGAAATAAGTCTGAGATATAAACAGGTTCTATTTCCATCAGTGACTAGCAACAACTACCCTTCAAAAACGAAGTCTCTTATGGGCCTGAGGAAATAGCTCAAAAGGATGAAGCAGGGGCTGGAACAATAGCTCAGCTGGTAGGGCATTTGCCTTGCATGCAGCCGACCTGGGTTCAATTCCCAGCATCCCATATGGTCCCCTGAGCACCGCCAGGGGTAATTCCTGAGTGCATGAGCCAGGAGTAAACCCTATACATTACCTGGTGTGACTCCACCTCCCCCCCCCCCCAAAAAAAAAGGCTCACAGCCCCAATGACAGTCCAGGCACAACATGGTGCCTGAGCACTCCTGGGTGTGGTTCTCCCAACCCCAGAGCCATTGGGCCCCACCGCTGCTGCCCCCAGTCAGGGCACTAAAACATCAGATCCACAGAGCCAGGCCTGGTATTACTGGAAGCAGCCACAGCTGCCCTGGACACTGCGTGGATGGCTGCCCCTTACAGACACAAAACCAAGTCTCATTTTATGCTGTAAAACGTCTTGGCACACAGTGAGAGAAACAGCACAGCAGATATGGGATTTGCCTTGCACGTGGCCAACCTGGGTTGATCCCCAGCACCACATACAGTTCGAATTCCCCGAGCACTGCCAGGAGTGATGCCTAAACACAGGGCCAGGAGTCAGCCCTGAGCACCACCAGGCATGGTGCAAACACCATAACACAAAAATCTCCGATAGACCTTTGTGAGCAGTCTGAGTAATAAGCATCAGGGGCCCTCCTGGAAAAGGAAGATGAGGCAGGATCTCGGTTTCTTCCATGTTCACACAGTTCCGTGAGGGCGAGGGGGTCCCTGAGAACTGCTAGGATGACTCTCTGCTGCTAATGGCAGCACCTGGTGGGGTGAGAGGCCAGGAGACAGGCTCCTCATCAGCCCCAGGGAGCAGAATGTGCTCCCCCATCCCTCCTCCTCCTCCATGGCTGACACAGTTCTCCATGACGACCAAGTTTTTCTGGAGGAAGTAGGTGAGGCTGAGGTCAACACGGCTTTGAGTTCCTTGAGGCTGCACGGGGGACTGCTCAGCGCCCAGGTGGCTGAAGCCTCGAGGAACCGGGTGACAGGCACCCACCACCACTATCACCACCACCCCGCCCCAAGCCTGTGTGGCCCGTGCTTCAGGCCCAGGCCCTGGGGGGTCGCAGCCTGGGGGGTTTCTTACCTCAAACTGGATCAGCACCGTCCCGCTCTCCAGGCCCTTCTTCAGCTCTTCCATGGAGCCCTCCAGAGTGTCCCCACCCTCCGGACACGTGGGGAAAATGGCCTCCGGGAAAAGCTGGCTCAGCTCCTCTTCGGATTTGATGTCAGAGAGTGAGCGGACAACTGTGGTGGGGAGGGAAGAGCGCAGATGGTGACACTGGTTTGGTGGGGGGGGGGGGGGGGCACAGTCCGAGCTTCCTGCAGAAGGGCAAGCGCGAGACACCCGAACGCCGATGTCTGAAACAGCTCATTACATGATTAAGCGCACGGGAACCGTTTCCACCAGAGACACGACTGCTTGCTCAACGATTCAATACGTGCTAATTATACAGAATGACATACTAATCTTTCTGGTTAGTTCTAAATGATAGTGTTTGGTACTTGGAGGCTCTTGCCGAAGGTGAAAGGAAGGTAAAACGGGGTTTTGAAGAAATCGTGTGGGGCCGGAGCACACACCAGGGATAGTGGTATACAAGGGGTACAGTGTCACAGTGCCCACCTTGCATGCAGAGGACCAGGTTCGATCTTTGGCACCCCGATGGTCCCCAGAGCGCCACTAGGATTGGGCAGGAGTGATAATACAGCGGGTAGAGCATTTGCCATGTACGTAGAGGACTTGGGTTTGATTTCTGGCACCTCATAATGTCTCCTGAGCCCGGCCAAGAGTGCTCGCCAAGCGCAGAGACAGTAGTAACCCCCAAACACTGCTGGTTGTGACCCATACCCACATCTTTTCTCTTAGCCCTCGCTCTTTCACGGGGTTCATTTGCCCTCCCCATCGGCTCTTTCTTGGGCCCCTGCCATCAGAGGCTCTTCCCTAGGCCTTTTCTGGAACCCCGGGTCCCTGTCTCCCAGAGCTCAATCCATTTCTAGCTCAGGGCCACTTTTCGTGTGGGCTTCCCCATCACAATGCCCAGCTGACATCTCCTCCGTGTCGCAGCTCCCCGTCTTCACTCCCAATCTCCTCCACGACAGCCTCAGGAAGGAGAGGTACCCGGGATGCCTGAGTCCTGCCCCGGGTTGCACGGTCTTTCCTCTCTAGTCTCAGACTAGCTTCTTTCTGTCCACTAGCACCTCCTTCCCCAATCTCCCAAACTGTAAACCGGGGGCCTCTCAGAGTCTGGCCCTCTTGCCGAGAGGAAAGTCACCCCCTTTATCCCAGCGTCTCCGACAGCTCTCCTGCCCTCACAAGAACGTGGAAGAAGGAGAAGAACAACGTTCAGGCTTCACCAGAGTTGACTTCATCCCCACAGTTCTGAAGCGCCCATCACTGTCCCCATTGTGCCGAGGAGGAAACCGACTCTGAGGACAAGTACGCAGTCCAAAGTGACCAGCTCTGGAGGGACAGACGAGGAATTCTGTACACTTCTGTCTGATGCTTGAAGACCACAGTTCTTTTCACTGACCACCACAGCTCCGCTCGGGGGCTATTTTTGCGAATTCTGTAACTACCACGCCAGATGCTGGCTTACTTAACTCTCTGGCTCACGTAAATCAACTCGCATTTCTACTGATTCCATTTCCTGGGTTTCTTGTTTGTTTTGTTTTTTTGCAGGGTCAGGGATCGAACCCAGGACCTTACCCATGCAGGGCAAGGGCTCCACCACGGAGTTATTATTCTAAAAGCGAACTTACGACCATTTCCACGCTATAAACTAGTTGGCATTACCCCTTTCGCTCTGCCTCTAGACCTGCAATTTTCTCACCTCAGACAGGTGCAACTTCAGGCAGTGGGGTCAGTGGGGAATGGCCCAACGCTCTCCCCAGACCCCCTGAGACAGCCAGGACACTGTGCTCTTCCAGCTGCCACTCACTGGATTCCTTCGGTTCACACTCTCCTGCAACCCTGCCAATCACAGAGCAGCAGGGGATACCCACTGCCCCGCTCTGTGATTCGGTTTCCCCCTTGCCTCTCTCAGGGGGAGGGGGGCTGTGCATGCAGTCACAGCATGAGAGGTGGTAGGGACACTTATGTGAGGGGTTGGCATGGGGCGGAGCAGGAATACCCATTTCTTGCACAGCTGACCGCCTACTGTGTGCTGAGCCTGGCCCCAGGGTTCTGAATGTCCAGGAATCCGGGAAGGCCCAATAAGGCCTCAAGAAATGGAGGTTGGGGTGAGTTGGCTCTGGACTAGGAGTTTCACCGGGCAGAGGGAAAGCGGGGTGCAGGACTGTGCGGTGCTGCCGACGTCCCGCGAGGCCAGAATGGAGTTATGGGGTTCCCACCTGTCCTCAGCATGTGAAAGCTGGACAGGAATCGTTGAGGGAGTGCTGAGCTGATTTGGCAACAAGAGTAAGGGCCTCACAGCCAACCAAGGACCAGGAATCACTTGGATGCCACCAGCGCCTTGTGAGACTGGAACTACATTTACTTCCTGTGGTTCTAAGAACACACAAAGAATGTCCTACGCAGGGAGCAGGAGCAGAGGCAGAACCATCACCACCGAGGCCACTGAACAAGAAAGATCCAACAAGATCAAATGCCCCGGAGTAAAAATGCCGCCTGGCGCTTGGGAAATGGCTGCAAAAGCACGTGTCTGCAGAACCAGGTGGCTAAGAGAGGACTGTGGGCCTGGGAGGGCCAAGGTGGGTGCTGCCCACCTGGCAGAGACAGGCCAGGGAGAGCCGAACCCCGGGCAGGCAGACAGTCTGCTTTTCAAGTGAGAAGTCAGATATTCAGGTTGTTAGGTTAAATTTCTGATTTGGGGGCCACACCCAGCTATGCTCAGGGGTCACCCCCTGCAAGCTCAGGGGACTACAGGGGGTACCAGAGATTGAACCGGGGTCAGCTGCATGCAAGCCAAGCACCCTACCTGCTAAACTATATCGCTCCGGCCCTGTGAAGTTAAAATCCTCAACTTCCAAATAATGGTTTTAAGTTGAATGTTTTCATAACCTGGGACCAGAACAGTGTTGTGGCATTCGCCTAGCATGTGGAAGACCCTGGCATGATCCCCGACACCACCTATGCTCTCCGCAGACCTACCAGGAGTGCTCCCTTTGCATAGAGTTAGGAGTAAGCCTGAGTCATATGTGCAAAAGAAAAAAAATAAAATCTCATTAAAAAAATTTCAAAACAAACAAAAAAACCCAGGAACCAATTGTGCCAAGACAGCTTCCCCCTGCCCCTTCTTAGGTCCTTACCTTTCCTCCGGATCACCAGGACGAGCTCCCGCGTGTGGGACTCCCTGCTGGCCTTGATGAACATCACCACCTGGTCATGGGTGTGCTCTGAGATGTCCCGGCCATTGATTAACACGATTTGATCCCCTTCGTTCAGCTTAGGATCGCAGGTGTCTGCCTGGGAGCGGGGCAGAGGAGTTCCTTCTGTGACTCTAACACAGTCCCGAGGGGGTAGGGGGCAGGGGGCAAGGAGCTGAGGGTCCCTGTGCTCAGACGCAGGGGACTATGTCCAGGCTCACCACTCCTTCCCCAGGCATGGCTGTTGTTACACTCATACCCACTGCTCTGAGGACAGACACAGTGGCCCAGTATGGGTTGGAAAGCCACAGATCAGAAGCCTTGGCCATTTCAGAACAAGGCTAAGAAAAGGCACGTTCTTCACGGCAGCCGGCCCGACGGAGAAAGTCATCGCCCAAGAGAGGCGGCACCCATTACGGAGAGAAGGGGAGCCTGAAAGGAGACACATGCGGGCCCCTGGACTCAAAGAGGCAATGGACAGTCAGAAGCAAACCTGAAGCTTTAACAAAGTCCAGCTTATGGGCCAGAGCGATAGAACAGGCACGAGGCTGACCCAGGTTCAATCCTCAGCATCCCATATGGTTTCCTGAGCACCACCAGCAGTTAATTCCTGAGTGCGGAGTCAGGAGGAACCCCTGAGTTTGACCCCAAAACAAAGCAAACAACAAAAGACTTCAAAGTCAGACTCCTTCGGGCCAGGGCTAGTACAGGGGTTAAGGTGCTTGATCCCTGGCACCATACGTAAGGCTCCCTGAGCCCTGTTAAGAGTGATCCCTGAGAATGCCCTGCCACAGAGGCAGGGTGGGATGGGGGTGGGGGTGGGGAGTGGGAGGGATACTGGGATGCGTGGTGGTGGAGAATGGGCACTGGTGGAGGGATGGGTACTGTTATACTCATTGTATAATTGAAACCCAAGCACAAACATTTGTCAGTCTACAACTGTACCTCATGGTGTTTCACTAATAAAAAAAAACAAAGAATGATCCCTGAGTACAGAGCAGGAGTAAGCCCTGAGCACAAGTCATCAAAAGCAAACAAACAAACAAAACCCCCCAAAATAATCCCATCCAGTACCTCTTAGAAAGCACACGCATTCTTTGATGTCCTATTGCTTTAAGGAAAAAAAGGGAAAAAAGAAACACAAAAAACAATCTCCAGAGAAGGCCAAGACAGAGGGCTGGGGTGGGGGAAGGGGAAGGGCGAGGACTTGGTCCACAGGAGCAGAGGAGCAGAGCCAGGCCTGCTTTCTGCCCTGGAGCATCACTCCTACCATCCCAGGGCCCATCCCCCAGGGCGGCTGCAGATGTTGCTGCAGGAACTCGCTCCCTGGGTGGGGTGAAGGGCAAAACATACCGCTGCTGCACTGGTTTCAGGCAGGCTTTGGGCAACAGGGCTCTTGGCATCCTGAGCCTCGGGGGCATATGGGGGGAGAGGGAGAGAGGGAGAGAAGGAGAAGGAGAGGGAAAGAGGGACAGATAGAGGGAGAGGGAGAGAGAGCGAGAGGGAGAGAGGGAAGAGAGGGAGGAGAGGGAGGAGAGGGAGAGAGGGAGAGAGGAGAGAGGGGGGAGAGGGAGAGAGAGAGAAGGAGAAGGAGAGAGAAAGAGGGACAGATAGAGGGAGAGGGAGAGAGAGCGAGAGGGAGAGAGGGAGGAGAGGGAGAGAGGGAGGAGAGGGAGGGGGGAGGGAGCGCGAGGGAAAGGGGGAGAGGGAGAGGGAGGGAGAGAGGGAGAGTGGGGGGGAGAGAGAAAAAGAGAGAGAGAGAGAGAGAGAGAGAGAGAGAGGAAGACACTGGTGCTGTCAAGACAGGTTCAGGAGAAAACATGCGGTGAAGACAGTGGAACGGGTTCACTTACAGGCGACTCTGGGTTGATCCTTGATACCACGAGAGGCATCTTTTGATCCACTCCTCCCTGGAAACACATTAAATTCAAACAGACACGGAGTCATTCACTGCCACAGCAGTACCGACGGGTTGGTGGAGGGGAGGGGGGCTGTGACATCCTTGAGCCTACACACATCCTAAGACACAGCAACCTTGAACAATTTCCCACTCCAGTCCCCTGACCCCTGGGTTCTAGCAGGCTGCACAGAAGGCCGCTGGGGAGCCTCGCTCTCGTGTGGGAGAGATAGTACAGTGGGTAAGGCATCTGCCTTGCACGCAGTGACCCGGGTTCTATCCCCAGCACTACACATGGTCCCGAGCCTACCCTGAGCACAGATTAATGTGTCTCCCTACCAAAAAAATATTATATATATATATATATATATATATATATATATAAAGCTTCACGCCACTGTATCTCCAAAGCCTATCAACTTGAGACACTTGCAGAAAGCAACGCTTCTTTTAAAAAAGGCTCACAGGGACTGGAGCGATAGTACAGCGGGTAGGATGTTTGCCTTGCACATGGCCAACCCAGGTTTGATTCCCAGCATCCCATATGGTCCCCTGAGCACGGCCTGGAGTAATTCCTGAGAGCAAAGCCAGGAGTAACCCCTGTGCATCGCCGGCTGTGACCCAACAGGCAAAAATAAGATAAAATAAAACAATAAAAAAGGCTCGTAGGGTTTGGACATAGTAGAGTAAGTGAGGCCCTTGCCTTGTACATGGTGAACAGGGTTCAGTCCCTGGCAATGCACAGGGTCCCCCAAACACGGCCAGGAATGATCACTGAGCACAGCCAGGTTGGGTCACCTCCCCCCACCCCAGCACCAAAGGGCACAGAGGCTTGAGAGAAGGGCGGGTTCTGGAAATGCCTGGAAGAGATGCCATAGGGGGAGCTTCCAGTGGAGAGGAGCCCGAATGTGCCACGGGGCCCTGACCTCCACCTTGGGGAGCAGGAGGAGGGAAGGCTGGGGGAAGCCCAGACCACTGGCCCTCCCTAAGCTCTGCAGCTGAGTTGCTGAAACCCTGGGTCGCTTACCAGGACACCCAAACATGCAGGTGCCAAAAAAAAAAAAAAAAAAATCTGGCCACGGCTGATTTCTGAATGTGTGCCGACCCAAAATTAGGGGGGTGTCTGACAGAGGACTCTGCTGCCCTTGGTTCAGTCACCTCAGCCACCAAGTTGCCACGAAATATTTTGTGAGTGGATGTGTCCATGTGCCCACATAGTCCTTCTTACAGAAACAGATGGACGTGGGCCCTGGATCCACAGTGGGTGGAGTGTAGCTCTGCTCCTGCAGACGCCACAAGGTGCTGGCCCTGCTTACAGCACTGCCCCTGAATGGTTCTTGTCAGTGCCAGCTCTGCCGTGGGCTTCTCCATCTTTCTCTTTATTCGCTTCCTGGGCCTCATCTAGCAGTGCTCAGGGGCTATTCTTGATTCTGCACTTGGGGGATTTTCAGGGGACCATATGCAGTATCAGGGATCAAACCGGAACTGCTGCCAATGAGGTAACATCTTAACGCCCCCCCCCCCCCCGCCGTGTTCTCTCTCCAGCCAACCTCTCCCCGTCAGCTGTATATCCACATCTCTCTAAAATGGTCTGACCATCTCAGTATCTGTACTGAAAACCATAATGCCAAAAAGTAGAGCGAGGGTAAGAAGGAAAGTGCCTGCCATAGAGGCAGGGGGTGGGGTGCGGTGGGGGTGGCAGGAGGGTCACTGGGATCATTGGTGGTGGGAAGGTACGCTGGTGGATGGAATGGGTTTTTGACCACTGTACGACTGAAACTCAGTTGTGAAAGCTTTGTAACTGTATCTCATGGTGATTCAATGAAAATACAATTAAATAGGCTCACCCACCTCGCCCCTTCTCATGAGAACTCAACAGAGAGACAGTAAATGCAGAGCCAACGCCGGGCACTTGAAGTAGGGTCTTGCTATGGCCATGGGGCAAGACCCTCAGTTCTGAGGGCTGAATCTCGGGGTGGGGGCCCACTGGCCCAGAGCTTACTTCTGAGCTCTGAACTTCTTGATGAACCTGCCCCCACCTACCTTAAGGTTGAATCCGAACTTCCCGTCTTCATCTGGTGTGATGCGGATTAAGACTAAGCAGCTGTCTCCGTTATCATTCTGGAAAGTGACGGGAAGCGGTCAGTCGCCCTCCCCAGGAGACGGGGAACGGGTGCTGTCCAGATGCCAGAACTCAGGGCCCACGAGATGCCTCCACACGGAGGGTCTGTGCCCTCCCTCACCTTGTCGCAGTAGTACTGGCCGGAGTCCTCAGTGGAGCCCCCTTTGGTCACCCTGTGGAAGTCGTCTAAGAACTGTGGGTCGACGCCATCAGAGGAGCAAGAGCCTGGAGCATTTGAGGACGGAGACACAGAACTGGATGACTTCTGGGTTGGGCAGCTTTGCGGTGGGTGGCTCTCGGACACACTCCTTCAGCGTGGGGAAGGAGGAGATATTTTAATCGTTGGGTTCATGGGCTGTCCGAGCTCACATTACCGATTACCAGGGTTTGCCAGCCCAGGCCTGCCCCCCATCCTTAGAACCTTAGAGGAGCTTCAATGGGCAGCCCCCAAAGCACTGGCCTGCCCAATGTCTGCAGGCCAGCCCGACCCCAGCTCTGGACAAAATAGGCCCAATGTGGGCCTTGTGGGGGGAAGGGCAGGAGGGCAGGACACATCTGAGCGCTGCCGGCAATGAAGTTCCCTTCCCAGCTAAAAAGGGCAAGGGGAGCTGGAAGGGGGAGTGTGCCCAGAGACTCTGGGGCTTGGATGACGGGACCAGCCTCGGGCAGGTAAGTTCACAGGCACACCTGCTCCATCCTCTCCGCATGCGCCAGCCCTGGTCCAGAGACTCCCAGTTGAATCCCAAAATGGATTAGTGCCACACAGAGATGTCTCTGGAATCCAACCATTTACAATCGCAGCCACGTGAGCTCTCATGATATTCAAAATGAGCCATGGAAAAGAAATTATCTAGCACCTGCCCCTGGCAGGTAGGCTTGAATGGTAGTGGGAAAATTCGAGCAAAACATAACGCCCAAAGTTAGAGAGTATTGGGGAAATTGTCTGCCATAGAGGCAGGGTGAGGACTGGGATAGGGGGTGGGGCGGATACTGGGGACACTGGTGGTGGAAAATGTCCACTGGTGGAGGGACGGGTGCTCCATCATTATACGGCTGAATCTCAAACATGAAAGTTTTGTAACTCTCACAGTGATACAATAAAAAAAAAAAAGTAATGTGGAGTTCATGCCCAATTCGATCAGCTTAATCAACGGCTGACCAAATAGCAGTACTCCTACATTTTTTTTTTTGTTTTGGTTATGTGTGTCCTCCTAGAGCTAATGGAAACAGATTCCCAAAGGGGAACTTTATTTTGGTAAAGAAAATTTCTGAAGGGGCTCCGAGTCATTCTTTTCTGGAAAGACAGCAGTCAGACGAGTAAACTTAGGACAAGACAACTCTGGACTATTCCTTCCTTATAACCCGATCCAGCTTCCATGGTGTGGTTAAAACAACAAGCAAACAAACAAACAAAAAAATCAACAGTGTGAGCAGTGCAGCAACTAGCCCAGGTCCAGTTTTGATAATGGAATAAATATTTTTTTTTTTGTGGGAGAGGCTTGAGCCATAAGTGGCGGCAGTGCTCTGAGCTTCGTCCGTCCTGGCTCTGAGCTTAGGGGTCACTCCTGGCAGTGCCAGGATTGGCCATGTGCCAGGCAAGCATCTTAAGCCCCGTCCTAGCTCTCTGGCCCTGGGATTAATACTTTATCAGCACCAACATCACTGAGTGTGGGGCCTCGCCTCCCCAGAGCCCACCGTTTCCTCAGCAGGGCCCACTGTTTTTCCTTAACAAAATTTGACACAAGCGTCTCATTCATTTCCAAGCCAAGCCAGGCATGTTCTGAAGACCAGACTCCCGCTCTCACCAATGGGGGGAATCCCACCCTACCCCTCAGACACCCACACTCAATTTCCTCTGGAGGCAGAGGCCTGCCAAAGACACTTTAGGAAGCCGCAGCATGGGGGGTTTGCCTCACATCCACCCCTCACTGCCTCATTCTCACCTCACAGCGCCAAGGGGAGGCGAGAGGAGGAGAGGAGGCAAATCCTGGCAGCCGAGAGAGCCGCCGCCTGTACCGCCTCTCACGAAACCTGGTCTCAGGTCCCCTCCAGGGGCCTCTGCAGGAAAACAGTGCTCCCGCTTCCGCAGGGGTTCCAATGGCCTTACTTAAAATACAGAATCTGTGTCATGTTCACACAGCATGAGTCAGAGTCTCAATTTATTCGAATAAAAGAACTAAGCGACAGATTGGCTGAGAAAACTAATTTACAATGCAAGAGAAGAGTCTGGCCTTAACAGTTTTCAAATTGCTGACTGGAGGACAGGGTTATGGAGAGGAAGGCGCTTGAGAGAGTAGGTGTTTCTGATTCATTCATTTCTTCATCTGTTGGTTCTTCGGGGCTGCAGGCTGTGGGGGTCAGGGACTACTCCTGCTTCTGTACTTAGGACTGACGCTGTGCTTGGGGGACCACACAGGGCCAGCCACACGCAAGCCACACGCCTTGCCTCCTGCACTGTCTCTCCGCTCCCAAGAGAAGATATTTTAGAATTGAACTTGTATGTTAGTGTTACATTTTCAGAGGGAGATGAAGAGAATTTAATTTAATGAAAAGAAGATAAAATATCCGCCTTAGGATGTGTGTGTGTGTGTGTGTGTGTGCGCGCGCGCGCTAATCCAAGGCAAGGGTAAACAGGGGTCAGGAGGACAGGTCAGTGGTTGGAAGCTTGCCACAAGAGTGGGTGGGTGGGTGGGTGAAGGGGAACAGGTAAAGGGGTACACCTGATAACCTTTCATTATCTATATTGGAAACCTTAAGGCCCAAAAGGAATAAGGGGTTGGGTGGGGGGAGGGGGAGAGAGAGAGAGAGAGACAGAGACAGAGACAGAGAGACAGAGAGAGACAGACAGAGAGAGACAGAGACAGAGACAGAGAGAAGAAAAAGTACCTGACATAGTGGCAGGCGGTGGGATGGGACGGGGGCAGGGAGGGAAACAGGAACCAATGGTGGTGCGAAAAGTACACAGGTGAAGGACGGGTGTTGGAACATTATATGACTCAAATCTAATTATGAACGACTTTGTAAATGTGTATCTCGTGATTCAATTAAATAATAAATGGGGAAACAGATAAATACATAGATAAAATATCTGCCTTCAGGCCACCCCATGGAGGCTAGTTTTGCGGCTGTAAAATCTGCAAGCGTGCCCCTCATTGATAGTGAGGGGCAGTGCTTGGTAGGGCTGTTCACGACAAAGCCAAATGGGCCTAGGAGTCATTCTTCCCAACACGAGGAGTGGACCTGAACCTTAAATACAAAGAAATCGCAAATATCACATGCACCTTGAATGTCCTGAAGACTGCAGAGGGCAGACGTGACAGAAAGGATAGAGGACGTGCCAATGAAAACCGGAAGCGCAAGGTGACCACAGCGGAAAGAATGGATGAATTCTGGGATTATTGTAATCTAGTGCATATCCACTGTGTTCACTTAATTTCTAGCCATTGCATTTGTGGATTGCATTCTACTGGGTTTGAAATGGTTTTCCTTTTTCCAATATACACATAAAATGTAACCAGTTATCGGGGCTGGAAAGATAGTACAGTGGGTAAGATGGTTGCCTTGCCTGCAGTCAACCCGGGTTTATTCCTTGGACCCACATATAGAACTCTGAGCCCAGTCAAGAGCAATCCCTGAGCACTGTTGGCTGTGGCCCCCAAGCAAGCAAAAAAGTAACACCCTACCTAAAACGCTGCCCGGATTATTGAAAAACAATATATCCAAAGCCATTGGGTCTCCCAATCCTGCATCTTCTAGGAAAACAGAGGTAGCATTTAGATAGTAATTGGTTAGATGTTTGATTTTTCTTATTTGATCAACTGCTCCCTGGAGGAGGCAGCAACAGTCCTCTCGGCGTGGGAGATGGACAGACAGGTGGGGAGGCCAGGAAGAGAAGGGAAGTGGCAGCACATGAGGAGTAGGACACGTGCAGGGAGGCAGAGAGCGAGGGGGTTCCCACTCCTTGGTGATGGGTACCCGGTGCCTCGCAGGTGAGGAGGGGAGGGAGGCCCAGGTTTGCAGGAGAGCAAGACAAAAATGTGAGCTGAATAAAGCGGATGGCAGAGGAGGGACCACCAACAAGAGCGGAAGGAGGCACCTACCAGCGCCAGCATGTGTGTGTGTGTGGGAGGTGTAGGGGGACTCGGCAGCAGGCCTGGAACTGGCATCTGGGGACCAGCCAGGACTGGCCCCCACCCGAGTTCCCTGGGGAGAAACAGGCGGGGACAGGGCGGTTCTCTGGCAGAAAGAAGCTTTGGAATTGTTCGTGCACCAGATACAGGAAACAAATCCAGAAATGAACGCGCTTCTCCAAAGGAAAACAATGCTACGTTAAAAAAGAAAAAAGCCAAACTGCCTGTGAGCAGCAGAAGACTCATCACGTCAAACAGAAATGCAGCATGAAAAGACCGCACTTTGGGGGAGCTGTAGAGATGGGAGGGTGATGAAGCGCTTGCTGTGCATGAGGCCGACCCTGGTTCCATCCCCAGCATCACTGGAGCACCTCTAGGGCAAGGAGTGATCCCTGAGCACAGAGCTAGGAGTTGCCCCAGGAACCGCTAAGGTGTGGCTCAAATCTATTTCACCCCCCCATATACACGTTTCTAAATCCCAGATGTCCCCTCACCCAAACATTCCATCTGGTCCATGAGCCTTTCACAGTCCTTACCTCCTGGGGGAGTAGTGAGGTGTTTGCTGTGCCCTGAATGCTATGAGGGGATGCTGAGTCCCACGTGGCTTTCAAGCTCCTAGGCCTCCTGCTTTTCCTGCCCCCGTGCACTTAACACAGGGCCAGGCACAGAGCACATGCTCAGCTAACACGCTGAATAAATACCAACTGGAAAAAACTACAACTGCCTGGACGAGGTAGCTATGATTAGCTAAAATGAGAGCACAGATTTCACTCAGTAAATTCCAGGAACCCTGAAATCTAAGTGGCCAGAACAGGTGGGCTAAGGAATTCTCAGCATGTGCAAGATGAGAGCTCCTGAGAAGGGAATGTTCTACGTGACTCCGCATTTCCAGAACGCTTTCCACGGCGGCCCCTGGACACTCTTCACAGCGGCCCCTGGATACTCTCCACAGCAGTCCCTGTCCTGGGGCCATGGTCAAAGCTGGAGTATGGAGGGGCCAGCAGGAGAGCAGCTCGCCCAGCATGCAAAGTCTCTTCTGAGTAAGAATCCCCAAGAAAGTTTTCACCAGAACCCTTACACAAGGTCACTGGTGTACAGAAAGAAGAACAGTTTTTATGCTGTGGAGCCATTCTCCATGGGACATTCACCTCTGTCACTAGCGTCAAGAGCTCCGGAGG